GGGACTTGACGGGATTTCGCATAAAATGGCAAACCCTACTAGGGTTTAGTGCCAATCCAGACTCGCGCTTACAGTCTTTCCCAATAAAGGTACTGCCCCTTATACTCACAAAAGAAGAACAGGTAGAGCTGTAGTGATGTGGAGCTGGTCGGAGAGACGCTGGCTGACGACACTGACGGCATGGACAGCAGCGGCAGAAAACCCAGGAAGGTGCGAGAAAATTCCGGCTAAGTGCGTGGTTTGGGGGCTCCGGGGTTTGGAGGTTCTTGACGCGGCTTTGGCTGGGCTTCGGCGGCGGGACTCGGGCAGCGGAAATGCGGCACGAGTGAGGGCAGACGCGGAGGCGGCGGAGATTACTTGGGCTCGTAACGAATTGAGAGTAAATTGGAAAGTGATTGACTAAGCCGAGGTTAAGCTAGACTTCGAGAATGTTCGCTTCTAGAAATTCTGCATTGGGCAGCGCTAGGGCGATGTGGCTTCCATTAGCTTTCACTTGCGCAAGGCTCATTGTAACATGCAGAATGGGCAGATTATGTATGACGTGGCCTTAAGGCGATATTTGATTTGTGAATCAAATATTTCACGCCGATGTGGCTCAACATATTCCACTCGGCAAATCACTACACCACTGCCCGTTCAAAGTGGCCAAACCAGCAATCACGTGGTTCCGAAGTCCTAATTTCTTCAATGTCGAAGTAAATCTGGAATCTATTTCATTCAAAGTGGTTTAATCTGCAATCAATGTGGCCAACCTGTAAATTCGAATTCGATCAAAATGTGAATTGACAAAGGTTACTCTCCATTGTGCATGTTCTCCAGTCCATTAGCTGGGTGGACGGACACAAGACAATGCAACGACGTGAGGCGATTTCTAGTGTCATCGTGGTCAGCGACGCGGCACTCCACCCTAGCTGAGTCGACTGGCATGGTGCTGTGAATCACTCGTCGAGCTGCTGACCATCGGCGCATAATCATTTCGCTGGTTCGACATTTACGGCTATGGGCCGTTCGAGCATACTGTCCTTTCTTCTCGCTAGTCTTCGACAATTCGAGATGTATTTCATCGAGCGACGCACGAAATTCTTGCATGTATTTCTTCCGCTCTTCCTTGACCCAATCGATGGTCTTGACTTCCTTCGTTCTTGGATGGACAAATCTAGCCAGCGGCGGCATCACTGGCAAACCAGCAAATGCGGTGACAGAGGCAACACCAACGAGTCGATCTGCTGGCTGGTGATTCAGTGCAGCTTGCACCAGCGGCAACAAACGGGGCCACTCGGTCACACGCAACTTCACCTCACTCGACAATGTGCGCATCGCGCGCAAAATCATGAGATTGACAACTTCAACAGACCTGTTCGCCCACGGCGAATGCGGGGTCGTATTGTGGTGGTGCGCACCAATAAGCTTCTTCCCCTTCGACACAACTTCATTCATGAATGGGATCCGCCGTCGAAGAACATGTGGCGACGTTTCCATACAACGAAAACAGTCCATAAGCGTGTCGGTCGTGCGTCACACGTCAGCCGTAACTGATGGACCAGTCGGTAAATTCCACTCATGTCGTCCTTCAGGACTTGGACATACTTCAAACCCGTGTCGCTTTCTGGCAACTGCAGCCAGTCGAAGTGTAACAACTCGTTCGGACGCTGAGCATGGAGGGCGCCCCCCATGAGCGCGGTACCACTGCCCCATCCACGCACAAGCAATGCAAACAGCGCCGAACGAACGTTCGACGTTATCGGCCAAGCTTGGGCATGCAAAACGCTCTGCGAGCGCGGCATTGGTAGGAGCAATACCGCGATGTCCTGCGGCGCCTTTGGGTGCAATAATGCACAAGCGTAGCTACAATCGGCAGCATCGCTTGGGATCCAAATCTTGTCGTCGGCAGACAAAACTAGCCGACGTCTTCATTCCACACCACTCCAGCATCACTGGCTGTCTGTTAGCCAGCGCAGCGCGTTGGGCCTTGACAATAGAATCAACAGTCGGCCGTGAAAAATCAGCAGCTTGGAGTGGTGACACGACAACTGCCAGACGATTGACACTACGAGTAAATGGCGGGGCAGGGGCAGCGCCCCAGCGGGATAGGAAATCGCTGAAGATATTTTCTTCGCCAACCACGTGCTCTAACGTTTATGGGAATGATGGCAGCACCATCGCCCATCTCTGGAGCTTGTAGCCTTGACAGCAACCCATACCAGAGTCGTACCCCTTGGGGTTAAAGATGTAAAAATTAAGTTGCGGTGGTCAGAGTAATGCCTGAACCCTTGCTGACGCAACAGCAGGTATTCGAGGCGCTTGCACGACTCGACCACCGCGAACGCTTCTTCGCAATCGTCGGCCAGCGGCTGCTGGACCCAACAAAACTTCCACTGAGAAACGACAAAGGCTCGTGGCGCTGGTCTGCCACCGGCAGCTCCAGGTCTTCAGCGGGAATTTGGGTGCACGTTGCACCCAAGTGCGTGTCGCTCGCGTCCGTAAAAGCCAAATAGCCTTGTCTGGCGTTGGATGGGCCAGCGGCACCATTGCACGCAACATATTCTTCACAGCAGCGAAACACACGTCGTGGTCGTCAGACCAGCCGACGTTTACCAAACGAATTTTGGCCAATGCCGACTTCTTGTTGGAACCACCAGCGGCCTTGACTGCAATATCGAGTATGGTGCGCAACGGCTCATCAACTGTGCATAATTTGCAATTGACGAATGCATCCAGTTCGTCGCACAGACGAATTGCTGGACATCTGCGGCCGTCGCTGGCGCTTCCAGATTCACGTCCTTGGATGCTACTTGGGTCGGGCGCGATGCCACCGGCAGAAATGACTTTGCCACACCACGTCGCTTCCACCAAATAAAATCGCACTTCTTCTTCGGGTGGAGTTTCAAACGAAACTTGGCGCATATGGCGAGCACGCGCTCAAGCAATGTCAGCAACTTGTCGGCGGAATTTGCATAGCCAAGCAGAGCAGATCGTCAAGCCAGCCCAACACACCGTTGAAAATAAGCTCACCGAAGAGCGAATTGACGACACTCTGGCAATACGCTACCGCGTCGGTCTGTCCCATCAGCACACGCGTGTCGTGAATATGACAAAGGACGTCATAAACGAGAACAGCATTTGGCTGTCGCAACGGCAACTGCCAGTACCCCTTCAGCCAGTCCAATGTGAAAAATTGAATGAAACCAACAAGCATCGCCATGACTGCGTCCAAATTCTGCACCGGCCACGGCATTTGGATGGTGCAGGCGTTGATCGGGCGACTTTCGATAGTCATACGATACTCGCCCAGCCCCTCCTTCGGCACGATTCGTGGCGCCAGGGACCATGTCGTACGATTGTTGTGGTAGACGAGGCCTGCCGCCTCGAGTTCCGCCACATGCTCCTTCAGGTAGTTTATGTGGGCAGGCGGGTATCGTCGCAACACACACTTCACAGGCACTGCGCCTTATTTCAGCCGCAATTTTTGCGGCTAGATATCCACCGGCGGGTCTTGTCCAAATGCGAGCTATACATCGACGTACGTCATAAGAATGCCGTGGAGGGTGGAACTATGGTGCTCCGAGAGACCACGCTCTCTTGCTTCCGCGATCTTCACGATCTTCACGTTGAGGATTCGCTCAACCTCGGCGGCTTCTGGCCCTCGCTTTACTTCGGGCGTCGTGCACAGATCATCGTCGACCGTGCCTTCATCGGCTTCCACAGACAAATCTCCCAGCCGACTGATGAGTCCCAGGGGAGTTATACACCTCGACATCGTCGAGATATCACACTGCTTCATCCGAAGGGCTTCGTCCAGCATGCTGTCCTGGCGAAAGCCGAGGTACCATGACTGGTTTACCGATGAGCAGGTCGCAATCCTGCTACGTTTCATCGACCCATGCCTTGAGACCACGCAACGCAAGCGGGCCAAACGACTTTCGAGTTGCACCGTCTTGAAGTGCGCTAGCCTCGTCACACGCAACGGCTCCGACGATTGACCATACGGCTACACGGTCATGGGATTTGCATCCACGATGTCGACCGCGGCTCCTAGATTCTGGAGCGCAGTGACCACGCCTGTTGTGACGAGCGAGACATCTGCTCCCGAATGTAGAAGGACAGTCGGCAACGGCAGCACGCCGTTCAACATTGCGCAATATGCAATGGAGTGCTTGGGTCTTCCGACAACAGCGTCTTGACCCTCTTCTGGTGGTTCTTGCCATACAAATCCGAAATTAACTTTTTCGCTTCTTCAGTGATGCCGGTATGCTCGCGTACCTTGTGCTCGGACGAGCCACACTTCAGGCACTTTACATCTTGGTTTGAGCGCGATGTTCCTTGTTCCTTTTCCGTGCTCTTGGCAGCAGCAGCCCCGATTCTCTGGCTCTCTGACTTGATCATCTGTGGCGTCACCGCGGCTGCCTTGGTCGCCTTCAACTTGCGCAATTCACGAGCTTCGTCGTGGTACTCCTGGTACCCTGCAGCATATTGTTTAAGCCACGATGTAAACCGACGAACCTTGAGCTTCAACGGTTTGCTTTGAGAATGCTTCATCTTCTTCTACACCTGGGCTTTCAACCCAGGCGGTTGTAACTGGCTAATAATAGCCTCGGCAAACAGCTTCGGCTCGACATCGAAAATCCAGCTCTGGCCAATCTCTTCCGCGTAACGGGATGCTGCGGCAACCATGCGGTCAACGCGCGAGTCGCCCTCAGGGATGGTCATGTCGCACACCATCTTGGACTTGATCTTCTCCACGAGGTCATCAGCCTCGAGTGGAGGTGGCTGTTGGTAAGCCGTCATGGACCACGATTGCCACAACTTCCTTCACAGTGTTGAGGTCCCTGCCGTCCATTTCCCAGCACGAACACTGGCGCTTCTCGGCAGGTTGAATAGATGCCGACAACGGCATGAGAAAGGGTCGCTACCCAGCGGCGTGCAGCGCTTCAATTTGACAACGATACTTCTCGAAGTCTCGCATAAACAGACGCTTCTCCGCGCGGGTATCACCGCAGAACGACGGCGGTGTCGGCAACACCGGCGCATGAAAAAAATAAACAACCTCGTAATCCGCTTCCATGCCGAAGTCTTCGACATCGGGGGTGCTCTGGGCAGGCGCTGGAGTTGGCGCTGGTGCCGGCGCCGCTCCGGGTGTCGGGCCAATTGGTTGGGCATACGGGTTCCTAAAGTGTACATCAACCGGCTGCGCTCGCCGGGGTCGCGGCGAGTGAAACACTCGCGGCAGTTCGCCCCAGCCCTTGCCCTACCTCAGGCGTCTTGACGGTGGTGAAACAAATCGCTTCGTTCTTCCCTGTCGTCGTCTTCTTGGCCATCTCACCTGTCAGAACACGACCGCCCGCTGCCTGGACGGGAATCTCCGTCGGCTTCGGGTAGCGGGGTGTTCTCCGCAGATCGTGCGGTCACTACGGCGCGTCAACGCCGCTCATTGCTTCAGTCGTGAAAATCTCGACTAGGAAATTCTCTGATGTGAATCCAGCCTTCCACAGGCGCAATCTTCAATCGGGTCACACGTGTTGCAATTTTAGAACTGAGCATTAAGTTAATAGCTAAACTAGACTCCTAGCCTTCCACAAACCCTTGCAAAACGCACGACTTCACCCTGTATTCAGCAACAGGACCCAGATCGGGGCACCGGTTTAAGACACGCACTGCCAGCTTGGCATCACCAAGCTGGCAGCATGCGCTCTGCACGCAGTACACAAGCCCTTCCTCTGCGTGTGCCCTGTGTTGCGTCTCCACCTGACGGACCTCGCGAAGTCCGTATCCAAAGGCAAATCACGAAGTAGATCCCCCCCAGCGGCAAGCCGCCGCTGGGGCTTATCCCCTACCCTAATCAGACAGCTGATCCCAGCCACTCATCCGATTAGCCCATCAAATCGTAGGGCACACTACCCAAGGGAACTGAACCCTTGGGCTGCCTCTTGGGGGGAGCCCAGGGGTTCTGCGAATGGCAAATTCGCAACACGCGATCACACTGTCAAAGCACGAGG